TTTTCGCTAACACAAACACAGGGTAATTAATAACACGATGCAGCACTCGCCTCACGCAACACACACGCACAGCAACGACGCACGCACAGGCATTCACCCACCGCACGAACGCAACGCATGCACACAGCAAGAACACGCACGCCAGCCGAGCATGCACACACGCAGCGCAGCGCACGGCTACGCACCGCAGCATGCACACAGCGGCTGTGCGCACGCACGCACGTGCATGCACACACCACGAACGCACGGCACTCAGCATGCACTACCGCAACCGCATGCACACACTCCCACACACGCACCAGCATGCACACTCAACGCACCAGTACGGCCACGCTACGCACAGCACACACACGCACAACCAACGTACGTACCCAAACCAGGCACGTAAAGAATGTCAGGCACACACATACAAACACGTCTTAAGCACGCATGCAAGCGGCACGAAAGGATACGTATGCTCACATCTCTCCACTCGCACCCATCGCACTACAGTAACGGCACGCAAGCACGTGTATCATGCACTTACGAAGCACACGACACAAAACTGTGGCACTGACTGCACGGGTCATCGTAGAGTAGCAGTGGACTGATAGATAGCACGTCACGCTACTGATACGCCGCCCTCCCCCATCCCGCACCGCCCCGGGGGGGGGGGCGGCAGGCTGCGTCGTCCCGCAAATTAATCAACCTTAAATTTAGCAAATCAAAAATGTCACTGGTCGCCACCACTGTCGCTGGGCCTGCGACACGGCCCGTTAGTTCGATGGTATGGTCGATTTACCTCGCTACCATTATTCAGGTTCTCTGTGATTTTCTTCCAGAAACCACAGAAACTGTGAACTGATAGTCGTGAAGTAGGTAGACATTGCTAGCTGTGGCCGGTGATCGGATGTTTTGCACTGAGTCCGCATTGCCCGGTTTAATCGTTCATTTATCATAATTTTAGTTTTCCACCATTTTCTAACATTTTGCCTCATAGACGCACTACGTCATGGCGTAGCCAGGGGGGGGGGGGGCGATGGGGGCGGTTCGGGCCCCCCGAACTAAGATTAGGAAAGGCCTACCTATTGAACTGGCTGCAGAGAACTGTTATCAAAGTCGATAAAACAGACGCAAAACAAGAATGCACAGCGCGCCCCTCCGTAGATTTATCTCTGGCTACGCCACTTGGCACACGTGCAATCGTGAACACTGTCAACACCACAGACATGAAGACAGCAGACAGGCAACGGACGCACTATAAAACACGACACGCACACAGGACGTACGGCACACACACTGCCATGCAGCACACGGGCACCATCACACAGCGCATCCGCACTGGCTCCGACGGGAGGCGCAGGCACGCACACCACAGCACACGACTTCAGACACGGCAGAGCACAGGCGCGCAGCGCAATGCATCTCACGCAACGCGACAGCACAGTCACACCACACACACACACATCTACAAGCACCAACACACACAGCACACACAGCACACAAGCACCACACACAGCCGCGCCCCCGATGCAACGGCCTGCAAGAACACTACAGCACAGCATCTGCGATGCACGGCAAGCATCAATCCTTGCATCCATACCCGCCACACCGCCAGCGCATCCCTCCTGCCCCCACGCCAGGCACCCACCTCCACCACCCAGGCACCCACCCTCACGCCCACATCCAGGCACCTCACCTCCACGACTCACACAAGGGCACCCACCTCCGCACCCACCCAGGCACCCACCTCCCCCACCAGGCACCTCAGCCGTCCCGCCACCCATGCACCCACCTCCGCCCGACGCCAGGCACCCCACCTCCCCCACCCAGGGTCCAGCCCACCCTCCCCCACCCAGGCACGCCACCCCCCCACCCAGGCACCCACCGTCCGCACACAGAAATAACGCACGGCTGTATCCAAACGCGTCTGATGTCGTTTTCGATCGAAGGATTTCGTCTCGAACCGTGCGGCCGTTTCTTCTTCTACCCGACGCATCGCTGCCGCTGCGGCCGCGCACACCGACGGGAACCATGTAAGGGGCAGATGAGAAACGGGCGATGTCAGGGAGACCCACCTTAGTCGCACCTACGTCGTCGTATTCCCCGCAGAGTACACCGACGCGCGTCGGACGGAGAATTAGTCAAGATTTTCGTTAAGCTGGGGCAGAAGAAATTACAAAATGGACAGACGGACATGCAATCGAAGCGTGTTGAATAAGCACGAATAAGAGGTGCTAGAGGATTAATTAACTCCCCCACGATTCCTTGAGCTGTCTCACTCTATCTCTCATCGTGAATCCCATGCTACTGCTATTGCTCCCCTCTTCTCTCGTTCTCCATCCCTCTCAAGAGGTCTGTTATGTGGATTGTTTGGGGCGCAAGTAGAGCCCGGCTGCCGGGCGTCTCAGCCGATCTCAATCTCTTCCTCTTCTTCAAGATGAGAGCGTCGATGGCGGGAAGCGATGCATTGAATCTAGCGATACCTGGCGTGCGCAGCCAAGGGGTGGCTTCGACGCTCTCCTCAGTCGCTCTCGCTTCTCATCTCTCCTCGGCTCGGCTCGCTCTTTCTCTCTCTCTCTCCCTGCCTCCCCCTCCACCGCTCCTCTCAACCCGCCGGATGCTGCGAGGGCTGGCTGATACGTCGTCCCCGCCGTGTGTCATCAGGAGCTCATCCTCC